ATGTTTTGCCTGAGACACGAAGTCGCCGGGTTGATAATGGTTCCGGTAAACGCTTCGTCCGAGATGGAATTTGTTTCATTCTCGTGATTGTCAGAACCTTCCGAGTTGCCATCAATGTCTTCCGCCAAATCCTGGCGGGCTCGCCATTGTCACAGATAGGTTTCTGTTCTGTGTGTTGAAAAAATCAGAAGACTCGGATTCCGGATTTGTGGTTTGTTGTGAGGCAGCTTCACAGTTAAAAACACTTAAAACTGAAAACAGAGGAAAACACGTCCGACACCCAACCCAGCCGAGCGAAGAAGAGAGAGAAGCTCTTTTTTTCACGAATCAATGGTGGTCGGAGTCTCACAGTAACCGGACCCGGATGAAGTATATCCAAATTAAGGGTCCTTGAAAAGCATATAGGCAAATATAAAAAGACAAACTAAACCAAAACACACGGATAATAAAATCCGTGACACATTTTAACTGATCATCAATATAGATGCCAAGGTATTTAAAAGAGTTGACATTTTCAAGTAGAACTTTATCAAAGCTAACCTGAAACAGAGTTTTGTTTTTCTTAATTTTTGGGACTAATCAATAAGAATTTTGATTTTTTAATATTTATAGTAAGTTTATTACTGGTCATCCACGTTGCAATTTTTTGCATTTCACAGTTCATATGCAATTCCATATCATCAGCAACGAGTTTGACAAGCAATTTAGTGGCGTTAGGAAGATCATTGACAAAAAGGAGAAACAATAACGGGCCAATTATCGATCCCTGTGGAATTCCACATTGTACAGTTGCAAGTTTGAACGAACTTGATCCGATTTTTACACACTGCTGGCGAGAACTCAAATACCTCCGGAAAGTTTTTAACGCATGACCACGAAAACTCTGGTTGATTTTTCTTACCATGGCTATTCTAAACCGCTCTCTTCTGGAAGTCTCCAAAATCGTAACCTTATTTGATCTCTCCCGCTATAACTTCTTTAATCACATATGTGGAGTATATAAACGAATCATCAGGAGTTTTTATATCTGGGTTATTAAAACCCATTTTACGTGCTTGCGGATTAAAGAAGTTCAATTTTCCATCAAAACACCTCGGCTTGCACGTCACTTAGAATCAACTCTGTTTCACCACATTCGAAGATGAATGAAGCAATATTATTTTTGAAAGTTTATTTGTTCAAATTGGAATGCTGTTGATCTTATTTAACCTCCTTGCTTCAATTTTTCGTTTTAGAACCACAGCCAATCATTCAGAAGGATTTTAATAGCCATGCCAAGTTGAGACAAAACTCGATCTCAGATTTTATGTGTTATACCTAACTATTGAGACGTGTTCTTAAGAGTGTAACTTACACGGAACGATTTATTTTGATAGTGAGTAGTATTTAGTATTCACAAATAATGCAAAACCAGGTTATCTTATCGGCCTTGGTTCTTTTTAACGCCTCTCTTATGCATAATGTGGAACCTCAGTTTTGTACTAATCGCAAACGACAGAAACCGATACATAATATCGTTCATAGGTTTTATTTAAATTGCAACTTTGTGTCTTGCTGAAGGGTTTGTTGAGAACTCAAGATGATAAACTGAGATAGCAGTTACATTTTCGCGATGTTTTAATTATTAAATAAATAACATAAATTGAAAAGAATAAAATGGTCCAATATGTTTCTATAGAACAAATGCCGATTCCAAGTACTTTCACATTATGAGTATAACAGACGCAAGTACATCGGGTTAAAACAGCCCTAAATGGCGACTAATGTGAAGGGGTAACAAATTAACCTTTACCGGTAATTGGTAATTTTCCCTTATGTTTGAATAAATCATAAATTAAGCATAAGCTCTTCTGACAGTTATCAATCGTCATCGAGGCCATAGACATTTTGTAGAAATTGAATAGTTCATTTCAGTAAATCTGTTTACGCGCCATAGAACCATGCAATTAGTACGTACATTCAGAGAACATAATTATAGCTCAATCAGTAACAATTCTTATACTCATGATTGCTATAACCCCAACGACCCCGTGTGAAATTAATCGGTTCGTGGTATCCACATCTAAATATTAATCAGTAACGTAAATTGTATGCGTAGAAATCATTCAGTACCATATCAATCCTTTTGGTAAACTCAACCATCACTTACAGAACATATAAGAACACACTTACAGTCAAAAAACATTTTAGGCAATCTGTGGTATACTACCATATTCGAATAGAGAGCGAAATGTTACAAACTATTATTAAAAGTCGCCTAAAGTCCTAAACCACAGGGAGTATTTTCGGTTTGAATCATTATTCAATGTGAATACATGCTAGATCAGGGGTGTCAAACTCGTGGGGTTTCGAGGGCCGCATTGCATTTTGGGAATTGTGCAAAGGGCCGCAAACAGTTCTGATATATATATTTTGATAATGTATACTTGAAGCATACTTTTAGATAGGTGTAGTTTGTGACATATATTGTGATGCAATTAAATAGCCGAATGAAATTTTGGTATTTTCTTAAATTTCAAATGCCATTTACATAATAATTTTTGCATTTCAATACTATTGCAATTTACTGTATTTATTACAAAAAATCATAAATGTTTTTGTACAACTATCCAAAACATTTTTTTACAAAGTTTTGATAAGGAAAGAATAATACATACACTAAAAATGACCTAATCTAAATATATAGCCCTAAAATTTACAAAAATACTACAGAATGAACTCAATGTTTTTTTATTACATATGTCCTAACGTTTGGCATCTCTTTTGTGCCACCAGCTTACTAATATCAGGCTAAAATGATTTTACAGTACCAACTCTAATTAACAAAATAACATGATCATCGGTTAATCTGGATTGTTGAGAATGTTCGATTATTTCAGCAATGCAAAAATACTACATTATTTCATATATAGATTAGTATACAAACAAATGACTGACGTTTCGGACAAGACATTTCCCGCCATTACGTGAAATAGGAGCGCTTGAGTATGATTGGAATTGATTTTTATTTTTGTTCGAATTTGACCTTTAAAACTGTCATATTGACTGCTGAGCTAAGCAAAGTATTCTTTTGCTAGCTTGAGGTGTATCCATAATTGGGTAAAATTGCAAACAAACAATTTTGTAATTTTTCAAAACTACTTTCAGTAAATTGTCGTTTTCTGTGTGAACAATCGATTTCACTTCAAAAGGTTTAAAAAATGTATTACATTTAGACAAAAAAATATTTGTTACAATTATTGTTGACGGTTCGAGGGCCGCATTGGAAGTGCTCTGGGGCCGCATGTGGCCCGCGAGTTTGACACTCCTGTGCTTGATCATGTTTCATTGCCCAACTGGACACAATCACACATATCTTTTAAACAGTATGTTGATTTTGAAATAAAAAATACAGTCTTTCCATACTTTATTATATTCAAACGCTTTAGGACCGAGGTATTTTACGGAGTGACGCTACAACTAAACATTAAAAATTTACTATAAAAAAAAATTACCTCGAATCAATCGAAAACATACTGAAGCATAAATGCTGGTCAATGAAATGAAAATGGACAACCGGCTATATGCTCTCAAATTTATATCGTCGGAATGATATATTGAATATCAATGTATGTGCTGTGGTTTTTGTACATAGTGCATGTTTATCACGAACTATGCTACGCTACACAATTGAAATCAGTCGTCGGTGAGTAGGTGACGTCATGCGGCTTTTGTTTCCACATAGCAAGCCTGTAACGAGACATTTCGTATGGTACGAAGCTGTTGTCTCATTTTCTTGATATTGGACTGAACCATTGGAAGGTTGTTATTGTGAGTAGCTAGATGCGTCGTTATTATAATAGCTTGGACTGTATTTAGTAATTACAACAGATATGATATACATGCATACGGCCAAACAGATTTTGCGATTCAAAGTTCATATCGAAATGAAATTGGCAAGAGTAAATAAAAATGTACTGATATCGCGTATTAATCCCACCCATAAAATTTTTGTCAGAATAGATCAGGATGTATAGTTTGTAGAGTTGGTAGGTGTAAATCTATTTGCGACAAACAAATTTCATAAATTTCAAGCAATGTTTTGCTGTTTTGCAACTGATCAACAGTGATTGAGGTCGCTTCCTGCTTTGAATGTTGCACACAGATAAGGTACAGCGGTCTGGACATTGTAATAATATTCAAGCGTCAAGCATGCGTATGTTCGATATCATTATAAACATAAGAATCGATATGATCTTACGACCTGTAGTGGATGAGCACTTGAAATGATATTCTAGGTAACCACGCACATAACAAGTGCTCCGATATAATTGGTTTCCTTGAACAGTTAGTTACATGGATCTGCACTAATATAAACGCTCGACGTTTTGGCGGCGAGGTCAATTCGAAACAACAGTTCAGTCGGGCAGAAAGTTATAGATAGATACGTTCATTTGAAAGGAGCATAAACAAGCTACATAGATGAATAATTTCGCATAATGTAGTCATATTGTTGAACTAAGATTTTTGATATCAACAAAGTGAGGATTGAAGAAATGCTCTGGTTCGATAAGATCATGAATTATATATAAAGATTGAGCATTTGAAATATTCTCGTATAATTGACGAACCTAGTAACCGAAAAGAGCTAAATGAACACTGTAGTAGTGGGAATGGAGTCGCGGAAGCTTGTGAAACAAAGGAATAGATTCGAATAGATTTTCTCCTTACCCAGGTAGAGCGAAAAACAAAATAGGCGAAGCTGTTGAATTGAATATATAATGGCTCTGAAATTTTTGCTCTAGTGCCATCTAAATATCATACATAAAATAATTCATCATGAGTCAATATAATGATGGCCATGCAAACCAGATCATAGTTTCTCATTATGGCGTAAATTTATAAACATTTCATAATTACACAACAACATTTTACCTTATTGTTTCATGTTTTAAATCTTGTGTCGGGCAACGTATGCCAAGTAAAGGCAACGCACGTGATAATTATTGTAAAATTTTCACAGTATGAAACGCTTAAATTCTTCTTAATGTTTAATTAGTTCTGAATACGATTTCAATATAATGTCAAATGGTATATTTACACGGAGAGTTGATAATGACAATGACGTCACACAACAGCCAATAAGTTTGGAATGTGACTTGGATGCAAAATACAGAAAACGGGAGTGTAAACTCGAGGTTGACAAGCAACTACGAAAAAGAATGCTGGAAGCTTGTACTTGCAATGGTACATTTTGTTTGCATTTTTCTGTGTTAAAATTGCTGTAACCTATACTAGTACGTTCGTATAAGTAAAATAGAATGCTTTCACTGACGCAGCTTTGCGATTACTTCAAAATCATGTTATTAACCTTATATTGGCAAACGGAATATACATAAATAGACTAATTAATAATTCAATCCAGTTTGTCAGGATCATTCTATGACACTTTTCAACAGTGATTGCGATGCATGATATTCGTGTTAACCTTTCACATATTTTTTGTTTCAGGACGTCGATTGAAAACATTCCTTCGTTCGATCTTCCCAATTTTAATTTGGTTGCCAAAATATGACGTAAAAAATAACTTGCTTGGTGACATTGCGGCAGGGTTGACTGTTGGAGTAGTTCATATACCGCAAGGTACGCCATTGAAAATCAATTTATTAACATTAATGTCTCAGACAAAACACTTTCTTGCCTCATTGATATTTCAACAATTAGGTAAAAATTAAGAGATCACAGTTCAAAACGAGTTAACCAAAAAACTTCTAATCACCGATCCCAATGTTTTGTCACAAATTGATTTTATGTCCGTTTTCGCATTTTTGTGTTCTATGCAAAAGGATCAAGAAGTAAAAACGAAGTTGGTATTTGCAAATGTATCTGCTTTTAAGTTAAAATCAATTCGTTTAAATGAGAGCTTGTCATCTTGTTTTGATAAATGTCAAGTTGCATTTATTTCTGAGGTTGAGTGGGTTGTAAATTTTAATTGGGATTGTGGGAATGATTCTATAAAAAAGACCTAGCACGATCGACACCACCTGTTACAGACGCAAAAAAATTACGCGATCGATTAATTTTTAAATTCTCATCGTATTTTAGGTCTGGCATACGGACTACTTGCAACGCTACCACCAATAGTCGGGATATACGTCTCATTTTTTCCAGTTATACTATATCCAATATTTGGTACATCAAGGCATATATCAATGGGAACTTTTGCTGTGATCAGTATACTTATTAGTGGAGTCTTAGACCAGGTACATTTTCGGATAATAATGCTGATATATGTTCACTATTAGCGCATTTTTTTTTTGCGAAAAGTGCGGGTCACCGCAATGCATTTATTTTTAGAGATTGCGAAATCGCCATTTTGTTTCGTTTTTGAAGCGATAAATTTTAAAGTTTAGAAATCTGCGTTCGAGTTTAAGTTGATGAATAAACGGTGTGCTAGTAATTTTGCATTACATACCGATATTTGCATAAGCTATGTGGTGTAGACAGGGCAGATAAAGCTATCTGAGATATTGCATGAACGGCAACATAACTGTTTATACTATTATGTTTTATACAAGCACTCCGATTCCACTTCTCCAGCAAAAACGCTAACGCCGTGGTCCCGAAGATCGAATGCGCTGCCACGCGTATCTATGACAGAGAGTGGTCATGTAACCAATGTGTACGATTTACTAGTACAAAAATACTGACTAAAAATATACAAATTGAAAGCGAAAGTTTGTCAGGTACATTCTTGCCATTAGGAAAGTTACGATACATACACACCACTGGTGGCATACTTTAAACAGCGTCTCACAGATTTGTGAAATCACCAAATTCCACGTATTTACAGAAATTTTATTGCAACCACAAATGTTAAAAGCACATGTTATTTCCAGGAATTTTGAGATACAAAAGGATACCTATTTGTTCGCGATAACTCGAGCACAGACCAGAGCACACCGACTTCTAAGTTGCAAGTATCACGTGCAACTATTTCTTGTTGCGTCTGATATACGCTGGTATAATATCAATATCGAGACCATTTGTTAGCATATCACTAAACGGAAATATTTTGCATCCCGGCTGTTTGCAGAACAACAAACAATTCGCTATTGTTGATTGATCGAATACACAAGATGAAATATCGCAAAAAGTTGTGAAGCTGTGCAGACTTCGGTCGGAAACAGAATATTCCGCTTATTATGGCTGGGCTTCACGGACGCCGTAACTATTCGAAATAATTACGTTATTCTGTGATACAGAATTTTTAAAATGTTTGGTCCATTAATACCTCGTTGGCCAACATCAGGTTTGTCAGGATCCTATTGTTTGCCTTGAATAATACCTTTCAAACTCATGTTCATTGTATTTTATGTATTGTTTACTTCAGTATGTCATTAATTATGATATGCTGGGTTTTCATTTTTTCGAAATCGGAACTGTCCAAAATGCTCAAACAAATGCAATCAAGTAATCACCGCCGATTAAAAAGTTCGTTTACGTGAACTTAGTGTGAGTTTTTTAATTATGAATATTGAGTGTTCTACCTTCTGTTTAAAGGAGCCTCGTTTTACAGTCAGCTCATTTCACTCTCTTGATAAGAGCGTTTTTGTTCTGTATATTATCATCTTAACGCAATTTATTGACAACAGACTTTAATTGTGTTTAGGATAAGTTATTGAGGCTGATACCGACTGTACTTTCCGTATAAAAAGGGCATACCCTTCTGCCGATATTTGGAATATGTTACTTACTCATCGTCTCTATTGATCGACTAACGAGCGATAGCACAAGATTCAGCACCAATTAATAAATAGAACGAGAACATCGGTCAGAGACCGAAGACTTATCTATCGAAAGTTAGGGGATCTCCCAAAATAGCGCTCTTACTCCATAGTGACATCTTGTGTCCTACCACTAATTAATCGATAACTCGCTAATTATACGACATAATTTGCCCAAAATCAATAGGATTCTGGTACGAGATATGATGAAGGCACATGCAAAATCTGCAGCAGATCCAATCTCGCTTTCGTGAGATATCGCGTGCATCTAACAGACAGACAAACAGACAAATACCTATCAACATACTTACCGATTAAAATCGATAAGTAATTAATTAAAATGTGTGGTTTTTTAATAAGTAATCGAAAAATCGGAAGAGTGGCGTGAAAATATATCACATAACGATATTTTTTTTCGCTCGACCAAAATGTTCAACAATAACGAAATTGCCGAGTCAGCGAAAGAAATGTATGTAAATCGTTGACTGTGATCCAATTCTTTTCGCTCCTCAAAACATTTGTAAAACAAATTTACCCACCACGCCGAAAAGGGGTTACGTGTTGTTTTTTCTTTGGCCACTCAAAGGAAGTGTCATATCTATATACGAGAGGTTCCTGATCTTTACGAACTCAGGACGCAATCGCAATTAATCATACGAGTATAGAGGAACGGAAAAAAAATTCATTTCATCAACGTTGAAATGCAAAAATAAGAATTTCACATTTCATGCACAACTAACCGATACTACATGTGAGATAGCTTTTTTGCATAAACGATTGTATCGCAACTGGATGTATAATATCTGATAATCGTACTTTGTTTTTAGAATTAATTTCCAGGATTTTATCGTTTGTGGGGGCGCATAATGAAATGATTTCCCTTAGATATGGAATGATATACGGCTACACACTGAAAAATAGTTGGAAACCGCTAGCATATCCTTGTTACTCATTTATATTGGTGTTTTTTCGAGTATTATTCGTTGCATTTCGTGTACCTTCGCAGAAGAAAAATATTTGTGTCGTCCCTATAGATGTATGAAATAATACGGTATATACAAAAGCCGCAAGTCGCATCGGGATGAAAATATTTATTATACCGGTTCTGTAGCATTCGAGAGAGTGCTACAACACTCGTTTCTCCCTGCGAATATCCGATACTTTGATGTAACTAATTTATGAGACAATGAGGATCGAACAACGTAATATGGTAACTCTGACTAATTTGAAATTAGACATGCAAAATATACTCCGAAGACGTATGACGAAAGGAGATTTTCAAACAAAACGATTTCAGAATAATTATGATAGCTAAAACCGTGGCGTAAAATTAAAAATTGTATTTATGGTGGTCGTAGATTTATTGTAAGATTTGTTTGATGACCTTGCTTTTTATTATCACGCAACAACTATCAAAATGTGTGGGGTGTATCATTTTCGGAGATGAAGGGCGACTCAAATTACATAATGACTACCAATCCAACAGATCTATGCTATTTATAGAACGATCATTTTTTGACACTTAAATTGCCTTTTGCGACTGTATACTCCCGCGAAAACCTCATTTTGATTGCTGATTACAGATGATAACTTACTTAAAAGTTAACATCATGTCATAGGGCATTAGGATACTGAAACTTAACGTTTTCCGTGGGAAAGAAAGGAGTGAGAAGTATCCGGAAACGAGAGTCATTTACGCACAAAAAGTAGCTAAAAGACTTATTTGCCGCTTGTGTTGGTATTAATCATAGTCATAATTGTTCGATTATTCTTAAATTACCGCAAAATGATTCGAATATTTTGGAATTCAATTGGACAGCCCTATTTTTAATCAATTTCAATCGGCAGTCGACACAACGCTTTTCTATCACGTATTATATTTAAAAGAGTTAAAACAAAAGCTAGGGCACCTAACTTGTTAAAATCGGCCAGGGCACCTTCGCACTTTTTTTTTATTGACTGCTAAGCCACATCATTATGTGTTTTTGTTTTCAGAGAGTTCCCGCATCTTTTTGTGGTGATCATCAAAGTATTTTAAATATATCGTCAAGTAACTCAACAGATTCATTCCTTAATGAAAGTACCACCGTCATATGTCATAAATTGTACCAGGCAAGAAAAGTTGAAGTTGCATCTGCGTTAGCTGTAAGCGTTGGATTACTGCAGGTAAATTAGGACTTCAATGCCAATGATTTCATTCTAGTATTACTTTGTACTAAACATTTCTCGAGTGCACTTGGCGTGTCCAATCTAAAATTCCCCTCCCAATATGAGGATTTCAGAACTATTGTTATATGTAATAAATAATAATATATTTATCTATTATTATTACTACTCCCTAGTAGTACGATATCTCCAATTTTATGAACAAAAATGTGTAGTTAATATCCTAAGCATGGCTGTAATATCCATTTTTTGTGAGATCAGTCGATAACATTATGCCCGAAAAATAACACAGCCAAATATGTTTCAATATAGGTTATAATGTATCTCTTCAACCTTGGTCTTGTGACGGTATTTCTGTCCGACAGTCTTGTGTCGGGATTCGTGAGTGGAGCATCTATTCACGTAATAACATCACAAATTCCTAAGCTAGTTGGCGTCACCGTTCGACGATTTTCTGGACCCTTGGCATTGGTTCATGTAAGTGTGTATTACCTTCTCGCAAGCTATAATTTGTACCGCAAAAAACAAAATTACGATTATCAAACTGTACTGAGTCCTAAAGATGCAATTACTAATCCATGCCTATTTTCACTGCACAAGTTCACAGGTTTAGGAGTTGCAGCACATTTTCTGTCCCGCGATCAGATAACTATATCCCCTTCCAAAACACGTGGAATACTCTTATGTTGTGAAGCCGAACGACATTATTAGTAATATATATATATGTGTTCAAGCGTTTGGTCAATAAATAATCTCATCATTTGTAGCTTCTTACCATATTTCGCAATAAAGGTTCGCTTAAAAACTCCGACAAAATCGATGTTCAAAAATGTATGCCATTGCAAACACGGTATATCCCACTTTACCCTAATTAAATACTGAGAATTCCAGCTTTCATAATTCTTGTCAATTCCACTTTTAATAATCTCGCTGTGTATTTTATATATTAAGACCTACATTGATATCTTCCGCAACATCACTACCGCGAATTGGGCAACGATCGTAATATCTTCAGTGGCCATAGTATTTCTTGTGGCGGGAAAGGTGATTATTCATGGTGAATATTTATATGAAGCGCAGGAATAACGATACAACTCAAAAATTTAGTCTGCGATATACTTTCGACCTTGCTGATTTTGTTCTATCCAGCGATTAATATCTGTCGTGAACGGGCGTCTTCGATTTAAAACTTCTGTTGATGTAATTAGTTTTGAAAATAGAAAATAAAACATTTAACACATTAAAAGTTTATGAAATTTATCATATCGGTTTGAATAATAACAGGAGTTCAACTCAAAATACAAGAAGAAGTTACCTTTACCTATTCCATGGGAGTTGGGGATTGTTATTCTAGCAACAGCGGCTTCTTACTTTGGACAGTTCGAAGAAGGGCACAAGGTTGTCACTGTGGGGGAAGTACCAACTGGGTAGGCGTTTTTCAATCTTTATTTAACACGTTATTTTTGAGACTGTAACATAAATTATAACTATGTTAAGAAAATCTTCACTCTGATAATAAAATACTCGGAACAGTGTGAATTACCTGTATTCCGTTTCAAGAATATATTGCAATATATGGAATGCATGTTTCTGGTTAAGACCAGACAAATATATAATGCCCTTTTATGCCTTCGGTGGTGATTCTTAACACTTAGTCGATCTTTAACAATTTTTTATAAATAAAATATTGTCAACCGAACTTTAATTACGCCCGCTTGATTTTTCGATGATGTTATGATAAATTGACGTTCAATGTACGACGCATTGCTTTTTAATTTTTGCTGGACTTTTATATAAATACATTTTATACTATTATTATGTGGGGCTGTAACATCAACAGTTTACTTACTTATCTATTTGACGGCCTTATGCGATTTTATTTTTGTCATCAAGACATAGTCAATATAGCTGTTTAACATATAGTGCTACTTTATTTCAAGCATCTCACCCATAGTACCAGGAGGCGCTGACGTTGTCTCATTGTTTTTTGATGCCATACCACTTGCAATTGTTGCTTTTACGGTTGAAATATCACTGTGCCAAATCTTCGCCACAAAACATGCATATGAAGTTCATTCCAATCAGGTGAGCCCCAATTTTTCTCAAACAGGACAATGAGATTTCCCTCGTATATACGAAACATTTGATAACGATACCTTCCACTACAAGAAGAGATGGCTCTGTCAACATTTATTTACACGTGACCGGTCTTCAATGTTAAACTGACTATTATCACATAATGCAATCTTATATTACACGATCAGAATAGATATATATTAGCTTGCACAGCACCCGTGATGCGATCATCAGAATCAAAAATAAGCAGATACAAAATCAATCAGGCGTGAAACCATAACAATGAAAGAAGTGAACAGGCAGCGTTGCCAGGAATTGACAAAATGCAGTGATACAATATCAACATTCAACAGTTGTACTCGTAGAAGGCGTAGAAACCCTTTACGACCTCGCGATACAAGTTTTGTAGCAAAGAATTTTATGTATTACTTTCACTTTCTAGGAACTACTCGCTCTTGGAATATGTAATATATTCGGTGCTTTCTTTTCGTGCTTTCCAAGTGCAGCATCACTTTCTCGTTCAGTTATTTATGAAGAAATTGGTGGCAAGACACAGGTACATAGTATAGCTTAATATTTCGAACTAGCATCTGAGCAAAGTTTTGCGGATGATCAAAATTTTCAAGCACAAGTATTTTGCCTTCGAGACTTTTGAAACGATAACACCTAAATATATCTACAAATCATATCAAACAAAACATTCATGTAAAATGCAAGTGGCCGTTGGGCATTGTGCAATTTTTAATTTCGTAGAGTTAGGTATGGGAAAGGAAATATAACCATCCAAGTTGCGTTTTATCATTTTATTATTATTACTGTATACGGTGCATATACTTCTTAAATCGCTCTGAATTATATTGAGGTTTTGTGTTGTTATATTTTATTAGTATTTTTCGCGCTACAGAAACATTTTTGGGTACTGTCGTCTGTCGCATTGGGATAATAATAAGTGAAAGATGATTAATTTATGATCTGTTTTATTTTTTCAGTTAGGAGCTTACATATCTTCGGCTGTAGTGTTGGCGGTATTGTTGTGGATAGGACCATTATTTCAACCTTTACCTCAAGCAGCTCTCGCAGTCATAATCATTGTAAATATAAAAAGCATCGCTTTCATGTGGAAAAATGTACGTATGATGTTAATTTGGTCGTCGGAATATTATTCCGGAGCTCGTATAATGGTGTTGTGGCTATTGAGTATACAAAACTGGCAAAAACTGATTTGAAATGAATAAATATAATCATCAAAATACTCCAGTTGCGAGATGTAAGTTCTAAGTGAAAACTTATCTTTATTCAATTGCAGGTTAAACCACTGTGGAGAATAAGTCGCTTGGATGCCATCACGTGGATGGTAGCTTGGTTTTCTGTAGTTTTGCTGGGAGTCGGTGTTGGATTGATTGTAGGTTTTGCATTTTCCATATTCACTGTGATACTTCGGACCAGAAAGTGAGTTTATTTTTGCTGTACTTTTCAAACCCTATTTTACTGAGCTTCGTAACCTAATTATTCACTGCGTGCCACAATTTTGCCGTTTGTCATTGCAAGCAATGACACAACGAATGGGAATATGATATTGTTTTTCCTGCCTAGTATCGACAGATTGTAGTATCCTTGGAATTGGATCGTTTCGTGTTAGGATACAAGTTAGCAAACTTTTTCTTAATTATCTTGATATTTTTGTAGCGCGACCGGGGTACAATTACAAAAGCTGCGCCATGAGAATGTATATCGTGACTGCAAGAAATACATTACAAGTACTCAACATGATGAGATATTTATTTATCAGTTTACCAGTCCGCTTTATTTTGTCAACAAGGACAGGTGAGGTTGCTCCTTTTTTAATATTCAATAATTTATATTTTATTGATCGAACATGTACGTCAGGGGTCGGCAACCTACGGCCCGCGGAGTAATATAATCCGGCACGCGACTCTTCACTGGATTATGGTAGCAAAACAGCTGTTTTGACGATTATATTCTTCACGTAACAGAATTTATTATGTGACACGTGTAGACTAAATTATATTATAACCGAACAAATATAAAATTCACAATTACTCGTTTAATGAGCCTATAATTTAATTATAATTAAACAAATGGCAACAAAACGCAGAAAAGTTGATGCTAAGTGCAAAGGGTTCAATGGCGCTGAAAATATTCAAATGGAATTTTTTGAGATGCAGTGCAATGGGGAAATAAATCTATTCGAGAGATGTATCACTGCTTGATTTTATTATAAAAAGTATCATCCGTTAGGTTTTCAATTTTCTAAAAATATGTGCGTTCCGCCAATGTCTTGCAGCCCTCAATTTTGGCCCGCGGGCGACAAACGGTTGCCGACCCCTGCATTGTGAGTTATGCTTATGACCATATGTTTATTCTGGCAAATAATATTACAAAATAATTTTCATTAGGTTTGCAAAACAATTATATGCACAACTTGGGTTTGATCCAATCAAGGAATTTGCACGAAAAAAATCCAACATTGTAAGATCCAAGTTTCAAAAGAAACGAAAAACAAACAATAAAGACGATGTTTCATTGCAAATAACTTCAAATAATAGAAATAAAAGAATTATGTCCAGTGTTAACGGAGATGGCAACCATCGCTACAGGAAAAATTCCAACGCCTCTGATGTTTCTGCTTCTGAAGTTGATGAACTAATGTCTAGTGTTCATTCTGTTATATCGCAAAAAGCATTTGACCCAGCGCAGAAATACAGTCATGTCATTTTTGATATGAAGCAAAGTTCCTTCATAGACAGCGATGGCGCTAAACTCATCAGAGAATTGTATGATTCATTTTGTGGTTTACATATAACACTGATGCTGACTTCGTGCTGTGGTATGTATGTATTTATTTATTGGAGACGACAGTAGGCATAACGATCGTTTTGCATTTTATGCTGGCACTCTTCTTCTTGTTGTTCTTTGTCACAGAAAAAAATCGCTTTTCTCTTTGATTACTAGACCAATCGCTTTGAAATTTTCGGTGCTCAAAGATTAAATATTTCGCTAGAAGGCTATTATTTTTATTTATTTCAAATATTCCGGTGAGCTGTATGGGATTCGTTTTTTGTGTGTGCCATTTGCCGCTAGGTGGCGCTACATGTCCATATATTTGAGCATAGCTCTCTTGTTAATTGTTGGGAAGGCTGTTCTCAATTTGTTATCTAGACTGTAGAACGGGGCTATTGAATAGGCTTGCACGTAATTTACGAATTTACGTAATTACGTAATTATTTGGAGTTACGGAAGGGAAGTTACGAATTACGTAAAGTCGTAATTATTGCATTGAAACGAGATTTCTTCAAAGCAGACAATTTCGTCGATTGCGAAAAATGAAAGCTCAACAAGTAGAAAAAGTTAGAGTTCCGGTATTCGCAGCCGTTTATTTCTCTTTTCTCTCTCTTGTTACGTAGGTGAAGGAAGGCATGACGCGTTGCCATTTACTAACCTATTATCAACTTATCTGGCATGGCAAATGTAAATTATTAACGTAGTTAAGGGGGAAGAACTGAGTAGGGCCGTTTGACGCCAACACACCTGGTTTTAACTTCTCCCACAACTTAACCGTAGATAAGGGATATAATTGCGTTGAGACCGATTGACGCCAACACACCTGGTTTCAACTTCTCTCGCATCTTATCTAGCATGGCCAATGTACATAATAACCGTAGATAGGGGGGAGAATTGTGTTAAGACCGATGGACGCTAACACGCCCGGTTTCAACTTCTTCCGGTGAAATGACTAATGAACGCAGGAGATCAATCTTTCAAACATGGTCTATCAAACATTTGTATCCATTTTACTTTTATTTATTATTTACTTGTTCCAGTTTTCCGTTACTTATGGTATATATGTTCCGTTTCTATTTTATTCTATTTTATAGTCACGCGTTTAAATAAGGGGAATTCCCCACCAAGTGTGGATTAGCAATGCTTAACCATTCTTTATTGTTAATATCAACACTTGATATATGAACATTGAATATCATACTGTTTTTGGCTGTTTTATTTCAGACTTGGGGTATAAACAGGAAAATATCCATAACCTTTCAACACGACGATCTTGTGAAATTTAACGAAGAGCTTTCGCGACGAATTGGAACCAAATAAGCGAAAAGAGCGATTGATCACTCGCGCCAATACCTCGCCGTGATAATTAATGTCGTGCTTATCAAATAGCAATATGACGACAAAAGAGAGATTGCGTTATGAACCAACGCAACTTCGTCATTCTCGGCATCGGTAAAGCGATTGAGACGGCAGAGAAACAGCAAAACGACGGATTCCTCGCGGACCGCTAAAAATTTAACTGCTATCATATATAATCAAATATGAGCCAGTGTGTTTATTCTGTGCGAGATCCATTTTCTATTACAAAATCTTGATGTTCTGTTAACGGTTTTATCGTTATATATCAGTCAGGACTTGGCCTTGCTCATGTTTTTTACAATTCCTCTCAATATTTCGGCCATATATGATTAACTGTCGTGAGGGTAAAATAAATGTCACAAAATGCATTGTTTTGCGATATAACTTTGTATTTTCGGAGAAGGCATATCATTTAAGTTCGGTATTTAAATTATACGCAAATAAATAATATTTGATCTAAATTTATCGCATATAATGTTATAAACATTCAGTCCGCGAAATGATTAAATGTAAAATGAAGCATGGTAATCGGAATATCGTCAATAAGTCTATATCAATAATTATCATTATAAAATGCTAACAAGGCATTAATGTCGGATAATGCAGAAGACGCTGCAAAAACAAGTCTTCGTCGCGAGGAAATCGCAAGTATAATCAAACGAGAGAATACGCTCGTTTGATTATACGTGGTTTTAAAAAACTATAGTTTCCATAAATATCCGTATACCAGTGTCGGTAATGATAAAATAAAATTGATCGCATAAAAATGGGACGGTTAATTTGCGAAGGTGATAAAGGAAAACCAAAGCTAACACAAAAGATAAAAATCAGAATAAAATTAATTTGAATTCATTCCTTGATATTTGTCTTGAACATCTGCCGCCGGCGTGTAGTACTGCCAAGAATATGAAAACCCAACTTCAATGTCCCATTCGGAAAAGAAGTGGATTCAATTGGTTGTTATGATAGGTTTAAATGCGTGGAAAAATATCGCAATTACGGGGTCATTACGTAATTGATTTTGCCGTAATTACGGAATTGATTTTTGTCAATTACGTGCAAGCCTACTATTGAACTGTGTTTTCTGAAGATCCGTTCACGAAACATCAAGGTTACTGAACAAGTCATTTCAAAAATATATTTTGCAACCGTGCGAGCAAATCTTCAAATGCACTATTTAGCAGATTTCATAGAATTTATTCATTAATGCCCATCACTTGATTGGGACAAGGTGAATTAGAGCCCTAGACCAGGGTTATGCAAACTGCGGCCCGCAAGAAAAAATTGTGCGGCCCACAGAGATGTGCCAATTTAGTTTAGTTAATCTGGTACGTGCGAACAATTTCAATCTTTTTGCGTCGCAGAGCGTATACCAGGGCCCGAGTGCCACTGTCAAAACTAGCTAGCAAAATCCTGTGGCAAAATACACAATGTTATAAAAGCGTGTTTGACACTGAATTCGTTCAAAGTGTGTGACAATGAATTTGAATAGCATTTATATTCTGAAATTTCTGCGTTTTAACTATTGTAAGGATCCCGAATAATGCCTTAAGATCAATGAAAAAATTGCAAACAATTACTATTTGTTAAATAAAGGTGCGGCCCTGCGGCTTCACCCAGTTACCTTTAGGTGGCCCTCCTGTAATAAAGGTTGCACACCCCTGCCTTAGACTCCCAATTATTTTTCAGAGTCTGTGAAACAAACGCTACGGAGTGTATGGGAAGATAGAGATTCTGCATTGTATATTTCTTTGGACGTCGCTGTACATGTTGCGATGAGTCAACAGCAGTCTGGTCATGTATTGACAACATTTTCGGAACACCAAGACATCGGTACATCGAGTGTGTAATTCACAATTACATCCACTAAGAGATGTAAATGAAATTCAACACTAATCAAGATTGACTTTGGTTACTGAATAAGAAGAGAATACTGAATTGTTCTCTTTTTCACTATGCAGTGTATCTACGCACGACAATATCAATAAATATTACCACATTATACAACGAAAACCTAGTGGACACTAATATACAGTTTTGCACGGAGGGCACTGGCATACAGAATTAAAAAAATATATATAATAAATATTTTTGCTTCAATTTAGTATATAATCTATAATAGCACAGCAAGAGTTGGTTTCCGAAGTTTTGGATAGATAGAGTCGTCATTTAAATAGCTTGCCGAGCGCAAAAATCATTCTAGCTCAAATGTTCTTATCATGGGTTCCATGAACTAACAGTGATGTTAGCAGCGTAGCAACCAACACTATCGTTATTGGAAATGTCTCTAATGCTATGTTGGAGATGAAATGTACCCGGACAGGCGATTTGTTAGAGTTAGAAGGGCAAAATTTCATAAAAGATAACAAATTGACATATAGAAAGTGTGAGCTTGAAAGAAAAAGAGAGAATAACGACTAACCATCTTATCGAGAATTTGGCGAATCAAGATCACTAGTTCAGGTCGCGCATATAATTAGGCATTGTCAAACATGTAGGCTACATTACGTCGACAAACGTTTTTTTTTTTTATCTTGTCTTGCTATAGATTATAAGAAAAGATAATACCTTTATTTTCCCCTAGAACTTCTGCTTTATGAAACTCTTCCAGGGTTGATATGCACGTGATGATATGGCTAAGGTAATTTCGCGAATTATGCACTTAATGCGATTTCAACGATGACGACTTTGCATAGATATGAGATATGTCAATTGAATCACACATTTAATAAACTTGGATTGTGACATCAAAATGTATAAAACGTAGTGTTTAGTAATCGTAACACGAATACACCATGCCGCCCCAATCAAGAGAGTCCATGTCAGTAATATTTTAAATTGCATGTGTCTAGACTAGACCATTGATCGTCAACCTCAAAATTTGGTACGCCCCGCACTTTCTACATTTTAATACGTAGAGAACTTAATATTTAAAGAGAACTAATTGTTTAGTTATATATATGTGTGTTCAGGTTAACGCTATAGTTCAGTATTTAACGTTGCTCTTGAATTCCATCACCCTGCTGTGCAAAACGAGGTAATAACCTTGTTTCCAGTGCCCCTCATTAGTGTATCGACACCCTTGATTGAATTTATTTTCTTCTTTCGGATTTAATTCCGATGATTGCAAAAAAACTTGTTTGAAAAGGTATGTTGTTGACATTCGTACGAGAATGGTGACTGCATTTTGTGCAAGCGATTACAATACCCGGAAACTTCTGGTAATGCTGCCCAAAATTCGATGTAGTTTTTATATGTTTTGAACTCTGCCTTTTGTACCAGATCTTATCGTAATTCAAGCAGTTCACCAGTTAGGTGGTCGAGAGCAACCTCTTCTTCACCTTGGATTGGCTGAACGACCCATATTACTAGAGAACTAAGATTCAGTTGTTCAACATCCAGAAAATAGGCTCCGAAGTTCAGCAGTACCACATCGAGATGCTCATGTACAATTGACTTCATCTTCGTTCTCATGCCTGGTGTTCCGTTTTTCCATTCACACATCTGCATCTCAAACTGTAGCAATTTAGTGCTTTCCAGTTTGAAATAATTAACCGAATGTGGTATATATTCCCAATAAAATGAAGCAATGCTTAGTGATTACTTCTTAGTATTATTTTTTTATGCGATAGAATGGTCTCAAGATTTGAGTCAAGATTTTCTGGAATTGATCCAATGTATATATTACGAATTGATAGCTTAGGTCTAAATGAGATCTCATCAATCAATCTGGCGTTACATCGACGTCTTAATAGCTATAGAATTCCGAAATGAAATTTCACAAGGCTATACAGTGAAAAGGAAGAAGTAAGAAATGGCCTGCTGTCTGCTATACAACAAAATTACTCCATTTATTGGGGACTAAGTCGTCTTCACAAGGAGACGAATTTGAACTTTCAACGAGTAATATTACAGTTAAAGACTTCCATCAAAACAATAAATAACAGCCCTGAATCTGAAAATTGTATCTGAAAGTTTCATAAATATTAGTATATATATATATTTATTTTAATTCCATTAATATAGTGAGCAAATCGAAAACGACACACCAAACTGAATGACTGACTGTCCAAGCGTATTGTCTGAAGTTTTCGACCCAAAGTTGAAATAAGTTCAGGCACTTGCAGTATTTTATTGGGTAATAATTCATAACCATTTTTTTGCAATTGTTAAACGGGTGACACATTACAATTTAAAACATATGACAAAATCTTCAAATTTATTGGACACGTAGTGGACCTATGGATCGTATTGTTGTTGTTCTTGTTCTTTGACATAGTTATGAAAGTGTCGCTTTTCTCTTTGATTACTGGTGTATTAGGTGTATGCAAACATGAAGAGTTGTACAAATAATACAAAAAACAATGAAGAAAACGGTTCAATTGAGGAGTAAAAACTTGGATATGTGATGCAAAAGTCTAAAATCAAAAAAAAAAAAAAAAAATGTAGACCAATGGAAAAGTGAGGAGCAGAGAGAAAATAGATGATATAAACCAGGGGTGGCCAACACGTCGATCGCCACCTCTCGAGTAGTCGATAGCGTCTGATGTTGAGTGGATTTAATAACATATCCCAAAAAATTGCCTTAAACCTTGCGTTCCGAATATCGTGTTTAAGCAGAGAAACGATCCTACAATAACTCCCGCCGTATGCGGAAGCTATTGTTCCATTCCTAGAGTAGTGAGATAAAAGTGCATTTGCAACGGTAGCAGTGGCATCAGAATGCCCAATTTTTTTGCTCAATTCCAAGCGATCGAAGAATTGGATTTAGAGGAAATTGTAAATTGGTTACTGAAATTTGAGCAGTCATGTAACGCTTATGGTTTGAGCATATTTATTTTTGCTGTTTAGTTGATATGGATACTTAGCATGGTTTATTGTGAAATTTCCAACTCTTATAACTAAAAATTAAGCAGGCCTTTGATCTAAATTGTATGATTCGAATAAATCTTAAATGAATGATGAAAATTTACTCCGGGTACAATTACATAATCAAGTTAATGAAACATAAAAATTACAAATTTTTGTGGCGATTTCGTTAAAAATGCGCCCTCAGAGCCGAGCCTATTGGCACCGGTGGAATTTTATGTATGTGCGTGTGCAGTTATCTGCATATTCAGCCATCATTTGCTTTTGTGTATATGACCTTATTAACGATCAGTCGTTCGCGATCTATTTTCAAGATTTTAGTCGATCGCGGTTCAAAGCAAGTTGGCCAGCGCTGATATAAGCCATCAGAAGTGACAAACAGAAAAGGAAAAACAACTTGGTGAAAGTAAAGTTTAAATTTGTATACGTTCTCAATGGACAAAGCGGATTCCAAAAGTGCAGGAAAGCCTCCTCTTATACTTAACATATCAAAATTCATTTCAAATGTTTTTCCGTAATCAAACAGTTCTCTTGCTTGTTTAATCGTTTCTTGGTATGAGTTTGCTTCAAGACATTCATTAGCAACATGAAAGCTGAATTAAAGATATCATTCAAAATGTTTATTCTATAACATTATTTTGCATAAGTATTGCAGATTTTTTCATATCCATTGCTAATTTATCATTAAAGGGTCAATCAAAAACCAGAAACCGGATTTCAGGAACCACAAAATATAGGCATATGTAGCATCCTACAAATTATATCGAAATTACTATTGAATTCCTGAGGGCCTATCGACGTATTATCTGTTAATGTTCAAATGCTAGCTATTTTTATATTTCTGCACAATTTTGCATTTACATCAATGTGAATTTAAATCTAAGTATAATTACAGTCTTTGAGCTATACAATGTATTCAACATAAATTTCAACAGTTATTTGTAAAACCAACCTTGAAATGAAACAGCGTACAAACTAGTAGTTAAATATTATTTATTCGGTTTTCAGCTACGCTAATTAAAATATATTTACGCGATTCGTTCTGCCATGATTTTACCTATATGTCCTTTTTCATTCTATCCTGCTGCGTATGTTTTAAATTCTAAATGTTTGATTACGTCGTTACTTGATTGTGATTTTTATGAAAACCTTTATAATAATAATTAAATAATTTCCGTTCAATTAAAATTGTATACAGATTAATACAAAAGCTAAAAATGGGAATCATACTCTGAATCTGGGAAATGTTTCTTGATTTTGTGAAATTCTAGTTCACTGTCGAATTCCAACATTTTTACTCCATTATCTCTTGCATGGATAATATAGGAGACTGGTTTTGACGGAATGGCAAAAATGATGGAATCCGGAGTTGATTCATACCAAATCAATTTCTTCCTTATTAAAAAAAAAATGGAAATAATATAGTTAATACAATCCAGGAAGTCATACTTTCTCTGTTTTCTTATCGTTAGATGGGAAAATGCCATCGCTAATTAGACTTTGCAATCACAAGAATGCAAGTCTCTTATTAAAATTTTTACGGGGCTCGGATTCTGCGTTTCACGTGGTTATACTAACCTATATATATGCACTTGTGCTAACATACGGCTATATAGTTATTATAAACCGAATAAATCTCTTTACACTAGCAGATTTGCCTTAGTGTGTTATGAATATTTTACAGAGCATGTGTAACAATGACCAGCAAGCAGTAAGTCAACATTGGCGTAACAATTGAAATTTGTTCATTCGCTCAGACACTTCTTTTGCTCAGACAGATATTCAAGTACGAGTGTAAAATTGCCTCGTTTTCGCAGTTTTGCGTGTTATTTGTCAGTTTTCAGTTGTTTTTTCAAAAATTGGTTGTAAATTGGATGACTTACTTGGCAGTATGTCTTCAAAAAGCTTTAGTTTAGTCGCAATATTCAAAAATTATTTACGAAGAAGCTGCAGGAGACTAGGCTTAAAAGTATCTATTAGTAGCTGTAAGCGGCACATGGTTAAATATTTTTATAAACAAAATGATTGTTTCGAACATGTAAAACAGTTTGTAAGCGCCAACTCTTTAAACCAGTATCAAAAATGCCGCTATGGACCTTTCCCCGAGCATCGTCTTCCTTGTTTACCTCGTGACATTGGCCAATCAGCAAGATGCAAAAAGTGACGTAACAATGCTCCCTTTTCGCATCCGCTCAGACGCTTTTCTCACTCAGACAGAT